GTCCAAAGGAAAGTTAATCTATATTACATCTCTTTGAATCATCTTTTAAAAATGTAATTAAAATTTAACTTTATAAAAATGTATTTGTACTGACACATTTTTATAAAAATTAATGTTTTATTTTAAAAATAAAAATATTAATGCAAACATATTTTAAATCTAATGTTTCTTCCAAAAGTAAAAACTACAAGCAGGATTTGAGTCATCGACATAGGATGTAAGAGAACTGATGAAAGAATCAACATAAACATATTAACTTAATGGCAGTATATTATTTTTTCAGCTTAATGACTAATGGAAAATGATTAATGACTTTTGCTCATGCAGTGCAGGACTTCTTGCTAGATGCAAGCATGCAGTGCATCTTACTTTTTTATTAGTGAAGAAGAAAAAAAGAATCAAAAACAAGTTCACCATGAGCTTGGAATAAACCAGCAATTTTAAAAAAGAAATACAAATAAGCAATAAGACTTAATAAGATTTTTTGGAACATGAAAAAGATATACAAAAACAAACCAACACATATCTCCAGCTGATCCAAACATAATATACTGATAGAAAACTACAGATATCTGCTCAATGAAGAGTGCATTGCCCAGAAATGCCATGACTATGCTGTTTTCCAGATGGCATTATCAGAGACAGTGACAGACATTATTTATTGGAAATAAAATGTCCATCAAAACTTAGGAATGCTCCAAACCAACAACTACCTACAATTAACCATTAACCGGTGCGAAATTCTTTAAAATCGGCGAACGTTTTCGATTCCCCTCCTGGGATCTTCTTCAGGCTTACTTCTTTATAGCTTTCGTTATAACCGGATTCTTTAATTCGAATGTCTTTGAAAAAACGTAACGTGCCATTTTTCGAAAAAATTTCTGAAAACGGAAGGAATCCACGTGTTATTTGAAATGTAATTTTCTACCAATGGGGAATCGTTGTGTGCATTACGTCATAAACATTTATGGAATCAATGAACAACAACCCATATGGCCTCGTAGTGGAACTGGAACAACATAGTAAGGATAAAGTACACTTCTTGGATATAGGCATAGATATGAAAGAAAGGGCGGTACAAACTTATGTATACAGAAAACCTACAGCGATATCAACGTATATACCTTATGAATCTTGTGACCCATTTTCTTACAAGATAGCGGCGTTTAGAGCATTAGTAGAAAGAGCATATACACATTCTTCCACCTCCCAAGCCCTCCAACGAGAATTAAATTACATTAGGAAGATAGCTAAAGAGCATGGTTACAACAATATGATAAAAGGTTTATGTAAGCAGCACCGGCATTTGCAGAATGGTGCAGAAGAAAAGGTAGAGGTACTAAATAATGGAAATGAAGATAGCGTACAGAGGGTACCAATAACGTATAACCCGCATCTAAAGGCAATGTACGAAAAAATTGCAAAAATAAAAGGAATTAATATTGCATACAAAAGAAACCCAACCATTTACAGTTTATTAAGGAACGGGAAGGACAATTCAGACCCAAATAGGCTGCCAGGGATATACAGTATTCCATTAAAAGATAACAGATGGGATAGACCTTTAGTGTATATCGGATCCACCAAGCGTTCATTGGCCACAAGATTAAAAGAACATAAATCAGACATCGAACATAATAAGTGTACGACGGCCCTATCTACGTATGCGACAAACTCGGACATCACACCTTTCTTCGATGAAGCGCATGTTATTCGCACCACCCAACACACGGAACAACTAAGA